GGCCCTTTACTTCCGCGGTGATCGATGTGACCCATAGGGGATCCGGTCGACAATGTACTGGACTCCCATTGGTGCCGCTAAGTTTAAAATGCGACGCAGCGTGCTTGACTGCGGTCGTTTACCGCCCTCCTTGCACGCCCGAGGTGGACTTCTATCTGGCATTCGCACTGAGTCGGATGATAAACAACAAGTACAGTCACAATCTTATTACGAGCGTATTCAACATCCACGCTCTGGAATCCAAATCTGCTCCTGGAGTAGAGTCTAACACGGATCTACAAGAGGTTATCTCCAGTTTCCTGTTATATATCCTCATCGACACTCCCACCAGATCCAGAGAAACGGATAACCCGTCTATACTGGGTCGGATAATCACTAGCGAAGAACTAATGATCGAGAAGGTTATCGTGGACGTCCCCTTGGGCAGCAGCGATCATGTAGTCTTACTCTTCGAATACATCTGTTATGCAGAATATACCGCGGAAAATTCCGACGCAACGAGACTGGTTATGCGCTGCGACATATTAGCTCGACTAGGTGAGACAAACAACTGGACCTTTCTGACAGACGAAGAACCGGATAGCGCATGGCAACAGCTCGTCAGCCATTTTACTACTCTAGTTGTCGAAGCACCATCGACTCAGATCATCCCCCCGAGAAACGTGTTTTCGTTTGTGGGAAGTAGGACACGCAAGTGTATAGCGATGCGAAACTCAGCCTTCTCTGAGCACTGAGACCTGGATGGCCTATTCGACCCAACGTAACCACTGTACTCAGCTTTAGACCATATATTCACTTTGCGGCAGATGCTAGAGCAGCGCCACACATATCGCAGACCGACAATAGCTGTGTTCCTCGATTTCAAGAGTGCGTTCGATTCAGTCGATCGATCGATTCTGTTCGAAATACTTGCGCGAAAGTGTGTTCCCACGAAATATGTGAACATCCTTCGTGCTCTATACTCGAACACTACATGCCGCGTCAGGGTTTACGGTGTCCTATCGGATAGCTTACCGACCACAAGTGGCGTTCGTCAGGGTTGCCCGATTTCCCCGTTTTTGTTCAATTTCTTCGTGGATTCTATCATGGAGTGTCCCCTTGCGGATTGTCACGATGTATACGTTGAAGTGCTACCTGGTGAAAGATTAGTTGATCTAGATTACGGGTACGATATCGTCTTGCTTTTCGACGATGTTGGGGCGGCCCAATCAACCCTGAATAGCCTGTCCAGAGTGGTCCCATTATTTGGTATGCACTTCGCACCTTCAAAGTGCAAAGTGTTGCTGCAGGACCAACAGCCACTTGATGTCCTCTTGACGCTTGCTAACGAGGAACTCGAGATGGTTGATCATTTCACGTATCTTGGCAGCTGCATCAGCAATGATGGGCGCATAGAAACTGACGTCAGCTCACGCAGAGCTACCTTCTTGAACCTGCAGCATCTTTGTCGACAGAAGGGAGTTTCCCTTCCTCTGAAAGACCGGGTATACAAAGCCACAGTGAGGGCCGTTCGGCTGTATGGTATTGAGACTTGGCCCCTTCGGTCTGAAGAGCTGAGGCGCCTTCAAGTCTTTGATCATCGTTATCTGCGAAGCATTGCTGGAGTCGGATGGCACCAGCGTGTCCGCAACGATGATGTGCGTAGGCGAGTACTAGGTAGTGATAATCATGCTAGCTCCCTAGAACAACAGATAGCACTGAATAAGTTGCGTTGGCTCGGACACCTGCTACGTATGCATGATTACCGCTTACCTAGGAGGACCTTGTTCAGTCTACCAGGTGTAGGGTGGCGCAAGGCTCGAGGTGGACAGAAGTTGACTTGGCAACGGGAAATGAAGACACTGGCGACCAAACTGGGTACCGTTGGTCCGTCTCGCCTTCCGGGCTGGAGTCCACGTGACTCGCCTTGTGCTTGGCTCGAGACTTTACAGGACATGGCTCGCAGTATACACCAGTGGCGCTGTCCTGCTGCTCGTCTCGTAGTCGGATTGCCTGCTTAAAGTGTGTTTGCTGCTGCGTTATCTGCGGGGTAATGGCTGATTATGACGCGTGGCCGTGAAGGCCGCAAGGAAGCTGTCTCGCCGATGCCGCCTTATCTTTGCACGATAGCCAGCTGTTTGTGACGGTATGTTGTCTACACAAGGTGTAGGCGCCTTGACCCTGAATGTTTACTTAGGGCATTAAGGTTTTCAGGTAAGTTCCCCTTCTCTCCATTTTCTTATTTTTTATTTCGTAAGTCCTCATGGTTGTATAGCAGCGAAGCATTAGGTCGAATGGCTGATGTACTGCTGTTGATGATGATGATGACTGTACTCAACTTGTTTGCGAGGATTAAATGGTATACCAACAGAGGTTGGCAGTGCGTACGACCCCAAATCACAAGCCTCTGTATCACTACTTGAACAGTCTACGCAAGTTGAAAGCGGGAATCATTCCTCTTCAAACAGCGGACGGACTCTCACGGTCTGCGAAGGAAGCGGCAAGTACTGCGCATGCAATATGCTGCAGCGTTTCAGTGCGATCAATGGCCACTTGCCCCTCTGACAAGTGTTGTCTCACTCTAAAAGTTACATATCCTTCACGGCGGAAACTTGGCTGAAATAGCTGTTGAGTATGCATAAGCGCAGCTCTCCTGAAGTGGACAATATGCACAAGAAGTCATTTGCGGCTGTAGGATAGAGCTTAGGTGAGCCTTTGGCTCGATACTTTCAACACTGTTTTGACGAAATCTACTTTCCCGACATGTGGAAACACGGGGTGATTACTCCAATTCACAAGGGCGGTAGTCATTCCGATCCAACTAACTACCGTCCCGTAATCTTACCACCGGTACTTTCAAAGATCGTGCGATCTCTCTGATACGCTAACGGCCTAGTGGGCAGAATTTACTTACCTTGCACCAGAGCAGTATGGCTTCCGATGAAATCGGTCGTGTACTACAAATCTACTGCTAGCACGATCCGGCTGGACCGAAGCATCACACATTGGCCTAGGAGTTCACGTACTTTTTCTCGACTTCTCAAATGCATTCGCGCGGTTAGACCATTTCATTCTGCTCTCCAAACTCCAGACTTCTGGTATTGGGGATCCTCTTCTAGCGTTGATTAGAAGATTCTTCTTACAGCGGCGCTTGGAGGAAAGTGTGCGTGAATCCATGTTAGATCTCATCCAAGTTGAATGTGAAGTGCCACAGGGATCAGTACTGAGACCAAGGTACTTTTTGCACATATTGACGACATCAATAACTGATAACGTCAGTTGTGGAGGGCGACCAACGCACCAGATGATGTTACACTACTACATGCCGCTCTGGAAAGGGTTTATTTGTCGTCATTGCAGTATCCACTTCGGTTTATTGGTAGAAATTTAGAGTGCTGCACTTACGGAATCACGTGATGTGCTCCCAAAACTCGACAATCAGAAGCTTCAAACCTCTTATGGCGAAATGGATCTGGTTTTTGTCCAGGCCGACCTTGGATGTTCGAATCAGGCTGAACTGGCGTCAAGAGGGGGCCTCCTGAGACATGCATCCGGACGATTCGACTCATCAATTTTTCAGCAGCTTTTCGGCGCATACATACGTCCACATGTGGTATACGCAATACAGGTCTGCAGCCATGGCTGAGAGGTGATCTCACCACATTGGTGATACCTCAACGACGAGCAACCAAGAATGTCAAAGGTTCGTATCATTTGCTGTACGAACAAATACTCCGAGCGTTCGGGGTTTTCCGCAGACAATACAGGCGATTGCGTGGGGACCTTATTTTAAATCACCAGATTTTGAGAGATCCCAACAAGTACCGCTATTTTCTAGAGCTCAGTCAAAACAGCAATCTGAGACGCGACGATTTCAAGCTGGCTTGACACTACAGTCGTTGGAATGCCTTCGGAATTCTTTTCCGTACGCGTTTCCAAATCATGGAATCGGAATCTGTCATCTGTGCTCCAACACTGATGAAGTCCAAATTGATCGTGCACTCATTTGGCTTCAGCATCTCACATAACCCCATCGTGAATGGCTACATTCGCGTGGTTGTTAGAGATTTCACTACTGGTAACTGCTAGAATACGATTGACGTTTTTTTTTTACCTCCAATATGTGTTCCCAAGGAGGCGGCACATGTTTACCAACGTCCCATTTGTCGTCATACTCATGGACCTACAGCCGATTTCAGTTTTTGATAACTATACTTCGGTGAGTCCACTCGTGTAAACACGCTTTTCTTTACAATTTTTCCCATACTTTTGCAAATATTCATCATGCTCATCCAAAGAGACCGGTTAAGGTTCAGTTTTTTCACCCGTATAAAACCATTTTACCATAGCGGATTTCGGGATATATTAAAACCAGTCTTCCATTACACAAGTGCTCCTGTGGGTCTCAAGCTCAATATCCTAGTAAACCTACCTATGGGAATTTTATTACTTGCGTTGGCGTTGTCTTGTTTTACAGCACATTCACCATTCCCTGTTGCTACCTGCGAACCGAGACTTTTCCGTTTTACTTATTAAGGGTAGTTTGACCATTGAACCCCAATAAAGCACCCACTGTGATATTAACTAAATCGATTCCTCAGATCCCGGTTTCTGCTTCGACACGGTCATTTCGCCACTTATCGACTTGCCCCTTGTATTGAGGCGGCACAGCCAGGGATGTTTCTTTTATATTCCATAACAAAATGGGATTAAATTAATCACCAAGGTGAATGTCATTAGAAGGAGTAAGACAGTCGGTGTTTCGAGATTAAACTTTTATTTGTGCTTGCGTTTAGCTTGTGTGGTTAGTGTCGCTGCTGATTGCTCTATTTATCTCGTTTCAAGATTTATGTTACACTTCTATAATCTTAAAAAAACCTCAAGCGGATGCTCTCAGCATTTCGCTTACTACTTTAATCGCTTACCTAATCGTGCTCGATCACAGCCTAACTGAAGTTCACACAAAAGTTATTTCACTGAAATTAATTAATTTTATTGGGAGCTTCGCTAACTTAACTCACCTTTTCCAAGGAACGTAACTTCGCCTCGTGTATGTTTGGGGTTTGACTTCTGACAGTTTAATCTCTGTGTCGCCGATATCATCTGGCTGCAAGTCACCTATGCTTTCTATTTCCTTTCCACGAAATTCGGTGGCGAAAACACTCGTCTTCGTTTACTAGCAGATCCAGGTTGCTTCATTATGCTTCGAGGAGTTTTCTGGGGCGTGTTCATAATTGCCTAAAAGTATATGTCATAACTTGGTATCGCTCACCATTGCATTCAGCTTGACTGATAACGCAGGTGATTTTGGAGTTTGAGTTACCATGCTCCAATTTCCGGTGGAAGCTGTGTGCTTGGTGGAGGGGAGTTTGTGTAATCTGCTCTTGGAGTTCTATGTATCTTTCTCTATCTTCCTCAGTCTTATTATTTCGTTTCTTTATTAACCATTTCGGTTTCATTCTCTTTTATTTGGCTCTCTAATTTTCTCTTGCTTGGGCAAGCTTCTCATTTTCAAGTACTTGAACGTCGTACTCTTTCGTCTGGAAAGTTCAATTATGTTTCACCTGGAGCACTTACCTGTTCTAAAAGTCTCGCGTTCATATCTGACATTTCTCGATCTTGTGCCGATATCTTCCTGGTCAGATCTCTCTAGCGAAGGCAAAGATATGGAGAGTCATTTGTTTATTATGGTATGAAAAGCGACGTTACCAGATCTTCACCATGAATGAGGATTATATACATCGGTTACTATCCCCCGATCTGCACCGACACTTGTCTAACTTCACCTAGACAATTGATCAAAATTCATACATTTTTGATTTGCTCAGTTCCGTCACTTTGCCGCACATTTACTGTCCAGTTTGCATGTTTACCTTCTTTCATATTCTTTCGTATTCACGTGGTGTCTCGTGCTGAGATTGGTTGCATTAATGATGCTTTTTCATCGTACTTTACTCGGTGCCTTTTCCTCAGAATACCGACAGCTTCACGGGGATCTCGTCCTCACATACCGGATACTAACTGAAAGCGAGCACCCATGTGCATCACTGCAGAACCTAACCCCTTACAATGTCGACGCCATCACCTGAAATTAGTGACGCAACACTCCCGTTTGGACTGTAGAAGTATTTTTACTCTCTTAGAATCTCTCCCCACTGGAATGCACTATCAACACATGTGGTGGACGCACCAGGACATCGCGACATTCGAGAGACTTCCAGACTTTCATATTATTACTAAACGCCAAACAACAGTGTGATAACGTGCGATCTATTTACTACTGAGGATTCACGTTCCATGTTGGAGCATTGCTGTTTTTTAATTTCCTTATGCATTTTCCATCCTGTTGATCTTGTAAAGTTATGTTTTTTATCCCATCATACATTATTAAAAATACTGAAATCAACTTAAACTAGATCATTTTAATCTGGATACAAGTCATACCACTTTGTTAGGTTTCTTCAGTTCTGCTATTCCGCTGCATATTTTGTGTCAAATTGGCGTGTTTGCTTTCCCTTACATTCTATGCTTATTGTTTGATATCCCCGGTGTGGCTATGCTTGATGTGAATGTTGCCAGGTGCCTACCAGTCCAACACACTCTACCTCGATTACTGGCTCCAAGAGACTGGGGGGCAGCTGCGTGCATAATCCTCATGTCCGTGTTGAAATTGCATAAGGCCGCTGGTGCAGATAGAATTACCTCAGCTCTTTACAAATTCGGGGAACCTGCTCTTGTAGATGATTTGCACTAGTTGCTGGTGGAACTTTGGGAACAGAAAGCTATCCTGACAGACTGGAGCCGCTCCGCCATTGTCCCAATTCTCAAGTCGATGCTCCCGCTCGCAATGCGGCAACCATAAAGGGATCAGTTTGATCACAATTGCCTCCAAATTGCGTACGTCTGTCGATCTTCACAGACTGACTGTCGCTTGTAAAGTCCAGATCCGCAAAAAGCAAGCCTGGTTTCCTCGAGGTCGGGGCCGCATCGACCACCTCTTCACTTTGCGTCAATTGTTGGAGCACCTCCATGTTTATTGCGGTCCACAGTTGTCATTTTCCTTGACATAAAAGGTGCCTTCGATTCGGTGGATCGATGTGCCCTTTGGGAATATCTGATAAGCAAAGGTGTGTCCGATAAATTTGTAAACGTTATCAAAGTACTGTACGCGCATAGCTCGGGCAGAGTGAGGGTTTATGACAAGCTGCCACCACCCTTTAGTATCTCCAGCGGTATGAGACAAGATTGCCCGCTGTCATCTTTCCTATTTAACTTCGCTATTGATGGTCATGGAATCAGCATTCGCTGGACACGACCTATAAGGTGTGGAGCTACTTGCTGGTGAGCGACTTCTTGACTTGGAGAATGCGACGTATTGCCCTAATCTGTACAGCTCCCAAATATGCCCAGCAGCACTGGACCGATTAGCACTGGCTATTTATCGTTTTGGCTATGCTTTTCTCTAACAAAATGCAAAGTACTTCTCTAAGATTGCAGAGGACCCACCTCTGCACTAACGCTTTGTGGTGATCTGCTAGAAGTCGTCCAGGAATTCAAGTACCTAGGCAGCTATATTAGCACCAGTGGGATGGAAGATGTGGTTACGAACCGTGTAGAAAATGCTCGAGGTGCTTTTGCTAAGCTCTGCCACGTGTGACGCAGGCGCGACATTACTCTCGCCCTGAAAGGTAGAGTGCACAACGCAACCGTTCAGCTCTCCTATATGGTTGTGAAACCTGCCATCAGGTCAACAGACATAAAGAGGCTCGTCACATTCGATCATCGCTGTCTCTTGCAGCTTAGCTCATGTCTGGCGCGAGCACCGCGTGAGCAATGAGCGTGTTCAGCGTCGCGTATTTGTTGCAGGAAGCGCAAATGAACCGCTCAGCACCATTATATCACGCACCAGGTTCCGATGGCTGGGTCACATGTTGCAAATGCCAGCACACCGACTCCCGCGACGTACATTGTTTGCGCGCCGAAAGTGCAGTTGAAAGAGGAGGAGGGGAGGCCAAACGATGACTTGGTCGAGAGGAATGAACACCCTCCACTTCGAAGTTGACGTCGGTTGGTGCATCCCGACTGCCTGGCTGGGGTCCTAAGGGCGATGAACAGGTTTGGTTGGACACAGCTGCTGATATGGCTGGAAGCCCGGCCCAATGGCCTTTGTGTTATGAGTTCATTTGTCAACCCCCTCCTACTTAGCATCCCCTCCAATCACGATCTCAATTATTAGGCATAATACAACTCCTTTTCGGCACGATAGCCGGCTGTTAGCTCTCCGGAACGATGTTCATCCGTTACTGGAGACACCGCCGACATGCCACTGTTATTTTTCTTGTGTTTTGTGTTGCGGCACAATAGCTGAGGTGTTTCCACCTGCAGCTTACGTGTATAATGATGATGATGCTAGGTTCAAAGAGTGGCTCCATAAAATATGAAGCGTACTACCGCCCAGCCACCGTCTTGTGTAAGTGTGGTACGCACGATTACCACAATAGGTGACAGGAATTTCTGCTGCTGTGCATGTGTGAAGGAGTATGTGTCGGCTAATTTGATGAAACTTGGCTCCCATCCACCTGCGTCCCGATCTTATTCTTTCGGATTTACACTGGATTTGGGATGTATGGATGGAACTGTGGGGGGTGGAGCACAATCCACCCGTGGTCCCTCTGTAGGCGCAGGCATTCTGTGGCTGTCCTATTTAGCCCACAGTCACAAGAAATCTGGAGGCGGATGCAGCCAACCATGTGTGATGCATGTCGTTCGTCTCATCGCGAAAATTTTTATCCTGTTATCCGTCTGTTATCTGTCTGTTGTTAAAATGATTGTCATGTATCATTAAGTTAGCTGTGCATCCCTACTTATATGCAAAACGTTTTCTTTCTATCGATATAGCTTTTCTCCATATTGAATACTCCTGAACGGCGCTTAATGCTTGTGGGTTTCCATCTGCTCATAAGCCCTGTTGGAATGAATTTAGTAGTGGGCTAAATCGAAAAAACTAGACATTTGATGTGCTTGTGATGTGCCCCACTTCGTTGAGGATGCACCTATTCCATAACACGGGTATTGTCGTTTCTCCGAAATAGACATAGTAGTAGAGCGCTTGTAATAACTTTACTCTGTAGTTTGTTTTGTGCTCGGTAAACGAATTCCTACTGTACTTTTTCCCTGAGAATGCCCACTGTAACGGATCAAAGCAGGATTTTTTACGGATCTGTGCTATGTAGTCCACATCGCAATCGAATACCGAATACTGTCATTAATTTTCCAACAACCTCGATTAGCTTACGCCCACACCAAAACCCATTTTCAATTTCGCGACGTTTTGTCCACAAATTTAGCTACTGATCAATGTTAGCCAGAATCCATTATTACATTTGCTTTGCGATCGGAGACAACTGTTAGTTTATTCTTTTTGGAGTGAGTTTTTCTCACGCTGGTACATTTCTGCCTACAGGCCATTTCGGTCTTGGCGCCTCTGAGGTAGTCATTGATCACACTCACTTCGGTAGACATTCTCCACGACCTGTCTATGTCGAATCGGTCGTTATGGGTGTAAATCGGTCGATAAACACGCCAGAGCCAATCTAACATAAACAATTTGTGTCAACAGTAGAGGATTCAGTGCAGCAGTCATTCATTCTACACATGGCCGATTTACTTCGATGTGGTTCATGTGGTATGGTATTCAAGTTGGACACCATCTCCCTATTTATCGAGCATAAAATTCGTGGATGTTCACAGCAGCCGCAATCTGCTTACCCACGATTGGAATGTTATCATTGCAATATGTGTTACTGTTCTCCGATGGATGTGATTTTCCATGTGCAATCGGCTCACGGAATCAAAATTCTGAAAACCGAATCCCTACATTTAGAGCCCTCTTTGAAGGAACGAGCGCTACTTGCTAGGTTTGGTTGCTTCGAGCCGACGGATTTACCTAACAATATGGAAGTTGGTGGATGTTGCAGACAAGGGAATTCCGGTCTTGATTTGGCTTCACGCAACACCACTTCAACTGTCCAGGTGTCCAAGTTGGCTGATGTAAAGTCATCCTGTTCGCCATCTGCCGACAGCGATATCGCCTCCGTGTCAACTGAACAATCTACTCTGTCATCCATTCGAATACAGTCACCACCCAAGAAGCGTAAAACATGTTGCTTACTTGACGGCGGACCTCCCTGTACTCAGATCAGCTCGTGTCCCATAATCGGATGCAACATATCCGAGGACGAGCCTGACCCGAATGGTGTTCAACTCGGTAATTCTACATATTCGAATAGCTCCCTTAAATATGAAATCGAAGAGAACTCAATTCATCCTTCCTCAGTAACAACAACTACCGTTAAAAACACGGATATGCCTTCCATGAAATCCAAATTTAACTGTGAGTTCTGCGCTCAGTCGTTCAATCAAAAAGTTCACCTTCGTAAGCACGTGCTTTCTACACACTTTAAAACGAAGCCGTTTAAATGTAATGTGTGTGATTATGAGACGGTGGAAAAGAGCCACTTGACAATTCACCTCCGAAGACACACCGGCGAAAGGCCTTTTGCCTGTCTATTGTGTAATTATAGGGCCGCACAACACGTCACTCTTAAGCAACATTGTCTGAAAAAACATCGTGACACCTTTGTCACTTGCCAGCGTTGCAGCATGCGATTTCTGACAACCACCCAACTGAGCAAACATCAAAAGTTTTGTTTTCTTTGAAAATGTTTTTTTCGCAAGAATCGATCTTACTTATTCCTCATCCAACAAAACTAAGCGCAGGAATCGATTTGACGTTGCAGAACAGTATGCTCGTGTTGCAGGTTTTACAAGAGGACTATATGTACTCGTCACCAGAATGAATTGGTTCATCGTAGCCTTCGTATTGGAACTTTACTTCGTTTGAAAACTGGAAACTGCAAACGCCCTTCCCACAAGTTTTCCACAATGTAATTACGCTGCGCTGGCCACTTTATATGGTACGCTCCATCTCTGCTTGGCTTTTATAATTGCTTTTGCTTTCCTAATCTAGTCTTTTTATATGACATCGGGTAAGATGGTTAGGTCTTCGACAGCTGTTATACGTGGTTAGCAACTGCGGCTTATAACTCTTTTACTTGGCGGTTAAACTATTCGCTGATCTTGGTATTTTTGTTGCAGACGTTTCGTCACCAATCGAGGTGACATCGTCAGTGCGCTGTTGCGTAGCGTAGGGAAACTTTGGTGAGGTGAGAAATAGATTTTGACTAAAAATTTATTCCCATGACTTTTAATAATCGAGCTTCTTAAAATGTCTCCTAAAACTGTAGAAGCTGCTGCAATGTTCCATGATTTTCATTCATAAGCAAAGGGTATCTAGCTTCCGTGATACTCACCTTTTCATTATTAAGTTCTTTAACTTGAGTTTTTAATTTTTCAATTTGATTCAAAGCGTCATTGATCTTTTTCTCCTGGAAAGGTTAGCTCAGATTAATTACTTCCGCTTACATTCTTTTTGTTACCAATCAGTGTGTCATTCTTTTTTGACTCAAGTGATTTCCGCAACTGTTGGAGTTCCTCTTCTCTTTCATGCAACTCGCTTTCCAGTTTATCTTGAAGCTGTTGGTTTTTGTTTTTTACTTCTCTTAAGACATTCTCGTTCTTCTTCAGGTTTTCAGTATTTTCCTTCTCTTTCTTTGTTAGCGTGTCTTGCAAGCTTTTTTCTTTTAGTTTCTGCGTAGATAATTCTTGTCTGGCGTATTCCAACTGCATTGTCAGATCGCTGATATTCTGACACAGCTGCGTCGTTTTTACAGTTCCGTTCTCAACAGCTTTGTCTAGCATGGTAACGCGATCGTGTAAGTGGCGGATTTCATCTTCCTTATTCTGAAAAACAAATATTTCGGGTGATGCATATCTTTCATCTCATTAATATATAAAGTTAAGAATATGCTCTATGCGTCAATGTACGAGTGAATCTTAATTTCTAGTGCATACACCTTTCGGCATTGTTAACAAAGAAGAGTCATGACAAGTAAGTACAGTTAGAGGAGTCCAATAACTCATTGACATAATAGTATCGATGACTAAATTTACTTGGTAATTACTCCTTGAAAAGGTTCTAGCTCAGTAAAAAACCCGCGACACCTGAGGGATAACAAAAATCCCGTTAGTCCGTTTTTAGACAAATATGTTTTCATGCTTTCTTCTAGTCGTTAATATAGTGGCATACACAGTTATAAGGTGCCTTAGAGTGGATTAAGGCATAATGGTTCTTGGCGCAAGCTTTTTGAAAGAGCGCTGCTTCACCAAGATGAATAATGCAATGGTCTGTTAACTGCTTTAGATTGCTTGCTTAAACTCAAGGGTGAGCAGTATGCACAATGTAGTGTAAAACCGGTAGTGATAAACCCAAGAATTAGATTACCAGCGATGGAAGCAGATTTCATCCGATAAATCTACTGTGACAACATTCTGACCTAGTGGATACTTCGCTCACATAACGTGGGAAAAGAAAACGTGGCACGGCATGACTCTTATGTATTTCACTAACATAGATGGGTGTAAGTTCTTATCGTTAATGTTAAGGTGATTGCAATCTATGAGTAGTTGCTGATATCGATCTCTTCTGCCTGCTCGGAGAAGTCATCTTTTCACTTTATTACATTCATTGACAATTGATGAGAATTAGGCCACCGTGTAAGTTCATCCAGTTCGGTTGATCGAGTGATAGACACTTAAAATCGCGCCAACAACATATTCAAGCAATGTAGCTTGGGCGGAAGCCTTATTATCACACATAAGCTATAGGGGAGAAACAATGGACCATGATTTATCACGGGATAAAAGCAAGTGCTTAACACGTCCCGTAGGATGGGTGCGGTGAATATGATGAAATCAAAATATGTCTGGGTCATCTATCGAACGTCTGCCGAGATGAATAGTTTGATAATTAACATCAGTGTAAAATCAAAATAAATTATCGTGCGTTCAGAAAGATACTGGGGTGCAGTGATCGTTGAGGTAGGGAGTGAGAAAAGTAAAATATGGTCGCTCACTTAGATATTGTACTCAGATATTGTACCGTAATACAGAAAGATAATATATTTGCAAACCAGAGAGATAATTAGCATTACCAAATAAAAAACTAAAAAGTAAGTAACATGAATCTTAGTGTAATATTATGCAGGGAGTGTGAGGTTGTGGTTGGAGGGGAAACTAAGCGGAAGTAGGAGGGACAAATAAAGTCCACAACACAAATGTTATTAAAGTTGGTTGTTCGCCCACATTTCTTCAACAAACAGAGCAGAAGCATATGTGCCTACTTGGGGAATTATGCGTACCAGACATGCACAAGGCGGTGGCTGGGCCGTAGCCCGTTATACACTGAATGCATGTAACTGCTCTTTGAGGCTAGCACGGCCACAAGAACTGTACACCCCGTCCCCTCCAGCAACGACCAACTATCTCCTGGAGCCAAGATAAGCGACATGGTTGATAATAGACGGGTAGGCACCTTGTCAACATTCACATCAAGCGCAGCCACACCGGGGATATCAATCAACAGGCAACACCTGAAGTACGAGAATCCACACGCAGGCACACGCACAGGTCAACTCTAACGACGATGCGGCACACGTACCCCATCAACCGCCTCATTGACTCGGATTAGTAAATGGAATCGGAAGCAGCGAACTTACCAAGCGCCGCGCTAATGATGACTACGCATTTAGCATACTCGTATTCTCTTAGATGTTGACCCAACGTGGCGACGCTGGTGGCGTACCAAACCCGCTCGGTTCATGCACTCGCGATAGCATGTGCTACAGCCCCATGCGCTCGACGTCGATGAGCTATCCACCATCGACGCCTGTCACTTACTCAACCGACGTTTCTTTTCCGCATGCAGTAGTGTTTTCTCTTGCACCTGGGTAACCATCCTCTTGATATGCTCTCTCCATCGGCGCCGATTTACTGCCACTGGCTCCCAACATCTAAATTCAACATTAGTTTGTGATAAACTCACTTTGGTCATGTCTTTGTAACGTAACTTTGGATTCCAACGTCCGCTTCCCTGTACGCAGTTGGCCATCAAGCAACTGTTTCAGTATCCGGGTCGAATGCATGCGGCGAATGTGACCGAGGCACTTCAGCTGCCTCAGCAGAAGTATGCAGTCCGCTGCACGCATGCCACTACATCGGAGCACCTCCGTGACTACAACCCGGTCAAATTAACCGATGAACCTATTACAACGCAGACACGGTGGCTAAAAGCGCTCCAGATAACGGACATCTTTCATTAAAGCGTACATGTTTCGCTGCCTTATAGAAGAACGGACAACACCCTAGACTTTATGCCAGCAGCTTCGTCTCGACAGTGAATACGGAATACTGGGAATATGCAGCTAGTAGAGATGTCTGTGTGTAACTACATCCAATATCTTATAAGCAAATCTACCTATTATAATGATCATTATTCTCGAAATTTCAAGTCAGTAAAGTGCGAATCCAGGAGTTCCTTAAACTCCGACACCGACTTTACTTCGACTATATCTGCAGGCGGATTTTTCCGAATATTCATCACCCTCCGCTCGAAGCAGAGTTGCTGAGCGACTCGCTTCAAATACGGTACGACAAGCTTGTACCGGTGTCCTTGGGTGCTGCTTGATGTGCGCAGATGAAGCAGTGGCCTCAACATGGGGTAGTCGCCCAGATGTAATATCCGGTGTGTCGTGATGAGCTCGACCTGCATTAGACGGTAAGACAGGGTGTACAACCCTGGTCTCTTGCACCGACCTTCATGTGGCACACTTCGAAAACGGGGACGAGTCCCGTGGTAACATGCTGTACCCGCTCAGTCTTTTACACCTCGCTCCGGGTGAACTGTATTCTAGCATTGGTCTGATAAAAGAAGAGGCTAGTGGCAACCTATTCGAACCAAATGCAGAAGATGCGTTTGAGCACCCAGGGCATGCGCATTCCGTTTTGGTAAAGCCTGTTCCTGTTTTCAACGGATTTCAAATCGCAACGTAAGAGCACGTCGAGATCTTTTACGGATGGCGATTGGTGTAACTGTTGGCCGGCCAGGTTGTAGACTCGGCCATTAACACCCTTGTCCAGGCTGATGAACATCAATTTGACTGTGTTGATCAGAAGGTTGACCTTTGCTGACCACATGGAGAGGCGATCAAGGTCACTCTGAAGCAGCTCGCTGTTGTCGGGCGTCTCAAATACCCTCCATACCTTAAGTTCATCTGCAAACAACGTGCAAGGTGAACTCATGAGCTAAGGCAACTCATTGATGTGGCTCAGGAACAAAACGAGCCCAAGGACTGTGCCCTGCGGGACGCTACTTGACGAGGGATACCACTCAGTCAAGTGGTTGCCCCCTTCACCCTCCGTCCGACCAATAAGGAAGTCAGTGATGCAGTGAGCCACCAACACCGCACATTGTCAGCTTCCGTAGGATGATCTTATGGTTCACCTTGTCAAATGCTTTACTGAAGTCGCTGTAAATTTACATCAACCGACTTCGCTTGGTTTAGCGCTTGCAACCATTCGCGCCTTGAGAGTAGCAGGTTTGTGTTGCATGACCGACCTTTCATGAATGTGTGTGTGTCAGCTTATACGCCGTAACGGCGCTTCGCTGCCGCGCGACCACCACCAGTCGCGCGCGGGCTGAGTATACCGCGAGGACGCCCACCCCTACGCGGATTCGAACCGGTGACCTTATGGTTGCAAGGCAAACGTGCAGACCACTCGGCCACCGGCCGGCTGCGCGGACGTCATGGTGTTTTCGACTCGAGATGCTGCAGAAGTCCACGCAACACGATCTTCTCGAGTGTCTTAGCCAAGGCAGAGATCAGGCATATCGGTCCGTAGCTGTTCATCTTGCTCGGATCGCCAATTTCCGGAATCTGTTTCAACACTGAGCATTTCCAGTCGCTCGGCAATGAACCGGCAGACAGCGACCTGTTAAATAACTCAGTCACCGAAGGCGAGATGATGGCCGATAGCGATTTGACCATCAGCGGATGGTGCCCATCAGGCTCCGACAGGCTTGGTACCGTCAAGATTGGCGAGCAATTTGCGCACATCCTCAACTCTGCAATCCAGTTTGTCCAGCTCGGTACGGATGCCTGGTTATCTGCTAAAACGGAAGCGAAGTGCGCCGCCAATGCGGAAGCACGCTCAATCTGGAAAATAGGGGCTGTCCGTCCGAGCTCTCCAACACACGCACATCACCGGTCGGCTTCAGGCGTCGCTTCACATATGCAGTGATCCTCTTGGGAGCTGTTTTTGCTGCGGTTGCAAGCTGCTCTTCGAAGCACCTGCGTTTGCTCATTTTCACCCCCTTGCAGACATTTCCTTGACTTTTGTACTCCTCGTACTCTTCTGCTGAGTCAGAGTGCACGATTTATTCCATAGCCGGCGTCGTCGTCGAGTGAGTTTGCCGTACTCCTTGTCAAACCAGTGTGGCTTGACTGGTTCAGCTTTCCGATGTTTGAGGAGTACAAATCGGTCGCACAATGATTGGTGGTTGTCCTACACATGACATTCCAGCTTGCCTTCAGTACGCGTCTGCGCAGCTCCCTTGTCATCTGCAGGTCCGTTGTAATTACGCTCCTAAGGTAGCAAAATCCCGGAGTGCTTTTCAACACTTCGTCGGCAACCTGGATTTGGGCAGGCCCACGGACTCTATACCAGGTGAAGGCTAGGAATGACAGGCAGTCTCGCTTGTGTTGATGGTGAGTCCGAATTTGACCGCTGTCGAAGCGAGAGCCGAAGTTATGTGCTGCAACTCATCCCCGCTGTGCGCAAACAACAACAGAGGGATAGTTCTCACACACTCGGGTTCTCGCCACGAAACGGCGGATGTTCAGCAA